GGCCTTTGCCAAGAGCACAGAACAGTACTCTTTCATTTTTAAACTTTCTGTGCAAAAACCATGTGAAGTTCAGATGTGTGTTTATTAGCCTGGGACTAAAAGAACAAAAGCCACCTTGTTGGCAGCAGGAGAAGGAAACCCACAGGGGCTTGCTGCAAGGAGGGCTCATTGTATAGGGTTGAAGCTGCCCGCTTGGCCAATAATAAACTACTTACCCAGCAAGGCCACTAGAGGCCACTAAAGTGACTTACAGCCAAGGCACAGGGCTGGCAGCTGTCTTGGCGGAGGACAGGACAGAAATGAGATTCACAGCTGCGATGTGCTCCAGGTTTAATAGAGCCAAAAACACCAGCCCCTCCCAGCCCCTCATTGCAACCAGAGTTTGTCTGGGTCTCAGAGGGAACTGGAGGAGAATAGGGTGGCCGGGAGACAGCAGAGCCACATAGTTAACCCATGCCTGTCACTGGGAAAGGTGACCTGTGCATCAGTCTCTCTCAGCTCTTGTGATATAAAGGTCCACATGGATTAGCACCAGGCAGAAGCAGTTCCCATTTCCTAAGGACAATGCTGGGATTGGCTACCTGGGAAGCCAGGACAGAGGTACAAATAACCATACCCACCTAAACTTGAATGCACAGCAACCACAAAGAACAACTATCACAGCAAACACTGCAGCCATCCACCTTGTCAAAAGTCCCTTCTTCATGACCTCGGGAGAGCAGATTTAAGAGGTAACTCCTTTCAACCCCTAGGAATCTGCCCCAGAACATGACAGTGTGGGGACAACCTGTCTCCTCTTCTTCAGTCCCTGTCGCATCCTGCACCTCTGGGTCCCTGCATGCCTATATGGCCCCCCGGCCTCCAAGTCCTACCTCTGTTCCCACATCCTGACAAAATGCTGGCCACACAGTGTGCCCTGGAGGAGGGATGCTGAGAAGAGCCCTGCCCTGGATCTTGGGGTCCTTCACGTGGAGTATTATGGGGCCCAAGTACCCCAAGAACGTTCTAGAAGGGGGCACAGGTTCTATGTGGCCATGGAAGGTATGAGAGCCAGGATTCGGACCCCTCTTGCCCAAGGGCAGGGACTACAAGAGTGCTACAGGCTATCATCAGATTAACAGAGTCAGATGAAACCATTTCTCATGCTGCTGAGATCTAATCTTCATATATATAATCTACAATTCTCAGACCCTTTTATAAAATTTTATTTTGAGACAAGGTCTCACCATGTTGGCCAGTTTGGCTCCGGACGTGGGCTCCTCCTGCCTCATGGCAGGCATGGGTTCTGCACTTGGTTTGGTCATTCTCTTCTAAGGAAAGCAAGACCAGGACACAGGATCTTGTGGGGGTTCTGACTCTCTGGAAGGGGTCTGCGATGCATGAGGACTGAAGTGACATTCAGACTTCGTGGAGCAATATCACGCCGCTTTCTCCGGAGCTCTGCACATATCCCTGATGGGTCACTCCACGCTGACGTCGCCTGACAGCTCCTGCTGGCCTGGAAAGGGGATGTGTTTGGGCGGAGAAGCACAGTGCAGGGCAGCGGTCCCGCCAGCAGGTGGCGTCTGAAAAAGTCTCCTTGAGGAGTAGATGGGGAACTTCACTCACACAGGCCTGGTTCTAAGAAGTCTTTCAGGACGTGTCAGGGAGAGACCTAAGCACACTTCTAGGTACAATCAAAGACGGACACGCTCACACCTCTCATCACAGCACCTTGGGAGCCTGAGGTGAGAGGTCAGCGATTAATTGCAAGACCAGCCTCAGGAAGCAGTGACGTAGAGACCTTGTCTCAAAATGAAAACTACAACGGGTGCGGGATAGAGCTCAGTGAAAAGATCCTGCCAGCGCCACAAAAAAGAAAAGAAAAAATATTGTGTTATTTATTTAATGTCTTTCAGGGTCTCCCATGAGTGGGCTGAAGCAAAACTCACTTTCATCTGATTTAAAATGCAAACCTGCTAAGCCCATGTATGCGTTTGAAGTTTGGAGCCAACTAACAGTGCTATTTCTTTGAAGGCAGCAGTCTTCACGATTTATGGGACTCATGATGTTAGAAGAGAAACACTAACTACATTCATGGATTTACAGTTTTTGGTGGTGATGGGTTTTTCTGTTGGGTTGGGTTTATTTTTATTTTGTGATACTAGGAATTGAACTCAGGACCAGTGCTTGCCAGGCAGGTGCTGTACCACTGAGATGTATCTCCAGACCTGTGGTTGGTTTTATTCTGTTATGATTTTTTTTTCTTGTGGGGAAGTTGTTTCTGTTTTTGAGACAAGGTCTCACTATGCAGTTCAGGCTGGTCTTCATCTCACTGTGTAGACCAGGGTGGCCTTGAATTCATGGAAACCATCCAACCTCAACCTCCTAAGTGCTGAGATTATAGTCGTGTGCTACTATGCCCAGCTCCAAGATCTTTAATAATTTTAGGAAGGCAGAGTGAGGAGCCACAGGGCCAGCCAAGTAGCTCAGTAGATTAAAGCACCTGCAGGAAGGCGCAGGAGCCAGGGGTTCTATCCCCAGGCCTGCTGTGCCAACCCCAACCCTGGAGCGCACTGAGACAGCAATTGAGACTGGACATGGTGGCACACATCTGTAATCCCAGCTCTTGGGTGGCTGTAAACAGGCGGATCACTATGCATTCAATCTAGTAGTGAGACCCTGAACACCATATAGACCCTTCCCTAAAATTAAAAAAAAAAAGTGAGGAACCAGGAAGGAAAACAGGTCTAGGGAACAAAGGGCATTGTGATCTTGGGGTCCCTGAGCATATCTAAGAGCTACAGTTTTCTCCAAACCACAATCTCCTTGTCTCCTTTCTACATCTTTGCTCCTTCTCTCCTACCTCCATCAAAGCACCAAATACTGGTCTATCATCGCCTCTTCGCTGTCTGCTGGCAAGTCATTCCCAGGCTCAAACCAACTGACTCCAGCTTAAACAGGTGCTGGAATTTGTGGGGCCGTCTGAAGAGGAAACCTACAAAAAGCTCAGCCTAGCACAACAGACATGTCTCAGTCATAACAGAGCAGGCTTGGACACCACCAGCCACTGCTCTGTTCTGGCTCTGTTGCTTCCCTCACTCTGTCTGCCTTTCCTGCACCTCAGGTTCCACATATACGAACTGACAATAGGCGATCTTTGCTGGAGCTTTAAAGACCCTTGCATAAGGCTCCAGTTTGTAGAGGGGCAGGCCAAACCTGCAAGTCAGTGCTCTTTCAGCCAATTGGGATTGCTGGCTGTGTCACTGTTCTGCACATTGAGGACACCAGGGCCCAAGTTCCTGCCCTCTGGGAGCTCAAGTGCTAGTCCAGGGAGGTAGAAAGTCAACACATACACAAGTGAGAGGATCATGTCAGACCGCAGTATGCGCCATGCAGGAGACAGTGTAGGCCCATGCTACAGGGCTGACTCATAGAATGGCATAGCCCTGAGACCCAGGGACAGCAGCAGAGATGTGGAAGAGTGGCTTCCATTTATTTTGTTGTTACTGAGAGCTAAACCTGGCACCTTTGTGATACTTCAATCATTTTTACTTTTATTTTGAATCAGGGTCTTGTTAAATTGTCCAAGCTGCACTCAAATTCATGATTGTCCTGCCTCAGCCTCCAAGCATTTTAAGATTACAGGCACATGCCACCAGGACTGGATCCATCTTTCTTATTTAATGTACACTCGCAGTGTCTGTGCTATACCTGGCACTTAGCACATACTCAATAATTATTTGTGGAAGCAAAGACAGAAGGGGCAAGGGAAGAAGGCAACATCACCGGTATTATGGGCAGTGAAGGAGAATCGTGTTAGCGATTGAACCTGGCACCCCAAGAAGTCCCAGGCTTCTCAAGAGCTCTGGGCCGATCTCCCAGTCACCTGGGAGCATCAACCCGCTGGGGCGGCACAACTTGCTTGTTTCACACTGTCTCCGACCAAGCGCTCCATGCCTCATCCTGGACATCCCTGTCTATCACAGCCTGTGTTCCACAGAAATGTCACATGTACCCTGAAGCCACAGAAGGAGGTCATTCAGAAGCCAAGTCCCAGTGGGAACTGGTAGGGATCCGTTGGTCCTTCAGTGTGATCCATCGTACCCAGGGAGAAACAGTGGCAGGAATAATGAAAAGCTAGACCAGAAGACAAGAGCTGGGTTAGGTGGTGGGTCTGTGCCTGGTCGCCTAGGTGACCCCTGAACAATAGTAAAGGCCTTTATTTATACTTTTACTAAGTTGCAAGACACAAGGTTGTCTGGCGACTAATAGCCCATGAGGTCCAGGCAGGATGCTTCTCTCAAGACTGAGGTAGCTTGACTGCTTTAGACAATGAGGCCTCATCCTGCCCTCCCACACAGGATCAATTTCAGCTTCAGCAGCTAGCCACAGGAATTGTTTTGTTTCTGTGGTACTGAGGCCTCAACCCAGCCCTTCTCACCAGGGTACATCTTGCACCCTTTTTAAAAACGTTTTGAGATATCGCTTCACTAAGTTACTAGATAACTCTGGCTGGGCTCAAGAATGCTGGGGTTACAGGTGCATGCTACCATGCCTGGCTCCGGAGGGATCTTGAGCATGTGAATGTGTGTGTACATTGGGGGTGCGATGTGTTCATTGGCCCAGTGAAGCCTGCTCATCGGAATCCTGGCTGCAGGAAAGTTTACCAAAGGTTCCCGAAAGGACACATTTGGGAGTGTGCCAACACAGAGAGTGACCAAGCATTAGTGGCTAAGGAGGGATCTGGGACTGCACAATAGAGGAAGAGGGCTCTGAGCCAAGTGACAATGACACTGGACAAAGCAGCTGTCCCTCTGCTGCAGGAGCCACCTTAAGATAAGGACCAGGCTTTGAGTTGCGCCAAGTCTGCCCAACTCCTTTTCCCAAGGATGCTAACCAATGCCATAGAGCCATTCTTAGCTTTTACTTGGGTGCCATTTTTGCTATACACGGTATCCTACCCCTTTTGACTGCTACCACAGACTACCAGAGGCTGCGTGGCTTAAAAACAACAGACATTTATTTCTCCCACTTCTGGAGGTTGGGAGTGGGCAAGCAGGACACCAGCACAGCTGGCAAGGCCCTTTCCTGGTTCAGAGGTGGCCAGCTTCCTGCCACATCTGTCTGTGATTCTCTGAAATCTGAAGATACTAACGCCATTCAGGAGGGCTCCGTCAGCACGTCCCAGAGGCCTCACCTCAACATGCCATCACACAGGGGGGCCAGGGGAACACAGACATCATCTACTGCACATGTTTATTTGTTTTCCTATAAAATCCCAAGGCTGCTGAGCCTACTAGATGAAGAGGAGACTTCCTGCTCCCATGGAGGATGGTTTGAACTTGAGCTTGAATCTCTGCTGATGAGCTGCTGCCTCTTGGGAGGAAGGACATGGCTCCTGGTCTTCCGGTGCAGGTCAGACAAAGACCCGTGCAAGCATCTTTACAGTTGGAGGCCACGGTCTTTACATCTCCTCAGGAGCCAGCAGCCACGAAGCCCGACTAGGCCACCTTCTCCCCATACCCATCTCTGCCCAGGCGGGCTCTGCTAGGGAACCATCTCTCCATCCTGCCTGGGCTTCTCCACTCTGCTGCTTCTAAACTCTGAGATCCAGGTCCCAGCAGGCACCCAGGGTCCCGACACGGAGCAGGCTCTGTCCTGCTCACTGACGGTGGCCGGTGCTGTGGTGTTTTCAGTGTTTCCCTCTAACAGAGGTTCCACTGGTGGGGACAGGACAGCAAGAACATGAGCGGAGGAGGGGGCTCAGTCATCCTCGTCTTCATCTTCATCCTCAGCATCCTTGTTGGGGGCGCACCTCTGGAAGCACTGCACCACGGTGGCCAGGAAGAAGCTGGAGATGATGGCAGCGATGGAGACAGCCACGCCCGAGAAGATGATGATGAACAGGTCCGTGAGCGACAGGCTGAACCTGCACTCGCTGAAGCTGGCCTCCGACAGCTCGTGCAGGGCCACCCTCCGGCTCTCAGTGGGCAGGGAGCACTGGATCCCGTCCAGGCCTGTGGGGCGAGGGGGAACAGACAGGTTTAGGGCACGGCTCATGACTGTCCAGCAGTTCTGAGGTGAGTGCCTCCCACAGGTGGCAGAGCAGGAGAACCCCCAAAGAAGAGGGAGCTGGGCTGAGTGGAACCTGAACCTTTTTTCTTGTGATTTTTTTACTCAGTGGCACTGGGAACGGAAACGAGAGCTTCACATGTGTTAGGCAAGTGCTGGACCACTTGAGCAACATCCCCAGGTCAGAAATCTTTCCTCAAAAGACAGTACTATTGGGGCTGGTGAGATGGCTCAGTGGTCTAAAGCACCTACTTAGAACAAGCTTAGCAAAGCACATGGACCACGGTTCAATCCCCCAGCACCACAATGCCAGCCAGCCCCGCCCCCAGGCGGGCTGAGCTGGACACACACACACACACACACACACACACACACACACACAAATAAATAAATTAAATAATTAAAAAAAAAAAGACAGTACTATTTGTGGGAAAAATCTGAACATGCAGGTCCTAAGCTACTTTTTTTTTTTTTGAATCCTAGGGACAGAACCCAGTGCCTTCCCAGTGAACTATACCTCCCACCTTTTTTTTTTTTTTTTTTTTTTTTTTAATTTTTAGACAGGGTCTTACTAAATCATTAAGTTCTCCGGGCTGGGCCCAAATTTTCCATCTTCCTGCCTCAACCTCCCAGAATTTGGGCTTACAGGTGTGTATCACGACACCCAGCTGAGACTTAGTGCTATTTTGATTTGAAATTACTCAAGAGAGTGAAAGAAAAGCATCGTACTCTGCCTAGGGCTTAGGAGTCTGCAGACTTCACCGTAGACGTGGGTAACAGCCCACAGGGTAGGAGAAAGGGGTGGCAGCAGATGTCATGGTGGGACACCAAGCAGCGCAAACCATGGAAGGGCCCTCCAGGCTGCAGTGTAGTTTCTCTAGCTGGGTGCCACCCTCCTTTTCCCTGTTCTCAGGACAGAAAGGAGTAGGGGATTTGCATGGCACTGTAGAATCCCTGATGCCCCTTGACAGGAGTGGGAAAGTGGAGCTCATGGGTTTCCCTGGATAGCGGCTTTATAACCACCCCATGCTACTGCACCACAGTGTGCATTGCACAGAACTTCTGGGGACCCGCTGTCTTCTAAGGCCTTCACGTTCATGAGTCCATGTGGCCCTCACATAGAGTCCATGGAACAGGTCCCACTCCCAACTCCACTTCCAGGTGGGGAACTCACTCAGAGAATTCCACCTGCTCAGAGCAGCTCTATAGAACAGAAGCAGCTCATTCTGGATTCCAAACCACCCAAATCAGGGCTCAAGACCTGGCCGAGAGCCACAACCTCTTCAACAGGAAGAAAAGGGAAAGAAAATCCACAAACAAGGGCCTAGGAGCAGGGGTGGCCTGTGTTCTTGGAAGCAGACTGGCCTGCCATCCTGTGGGGGCCAAAGAAGGTGCAGATGGGATGAGTGGAAGACACTTTAGAGTCACCTCCAGCGGCCCTTCCCTAATCATTAAGCTGCTCTCTTGGAGAACCCAAGAAGATAGCTGTACAAACTGCAAGTGGGTGAGTCCACCCCTTCCCTCCACTTCAGTGAGCCTCCTAGAGATTTGTCTGAGACTGCAAAGCTGAGTATTGTGAGGTGTGGCTCTCATTCATTCATTCATTCATTCACAAGCATGTATTGAGTAATCTGCCTGTGCCCAGGAATTGGTGATAATGCAAACGAGGCCCCTAAGCTCTCAGAGCATAAATTCTTTTTTTTTCCATAATTTTATTGAGAAACAAATAGCAATAAGACAGTTTCAAACCAAATTGGTAGGACAGTTTCAATAATTAACACATTGCATACATTCTTCCTAGTTGTTAATTGCTGTACAAGATGCAGACTTGATATCTTATTTACAAACACCATTAGAACAAATCATTCTATTCATTAAGAGAATGTAACTATATATCTATCCTAACCACTTTGAATACACAGATACAAAATGGACATTCATCTGTATCCCCTTTTTTGTTAAGTTCCATCATTTAAATATTATAGGTGTGAAAACTCAGCAAAATATTCTAAAAGAGTTCAGTAGTCCATAATAGTATTGGGTCTTCTGCTTCACTGGCAATGTCAGAAATTGTTGACCTGAGTCCCCTACTGCTCAACATAACACCATGGCTTTACTTCTTATACTTCGTTTTTATACTTTTCTGTCGAATGGTTAAGACCAAGGTAAAGCAGGACCTATCCAAAAAGAGTTGTAGCTTTTGGGTCTGATAAGGTCAGTGAAATCCCCTCAGGATTTATCCTGAGATCCTGTACCTCAGATTGTAAAACCTTTGTCAGTGCCAGCCATGTGGTTGAGTCACAGCCATTGCTTGGCCAATGTGCTCTCAGAGTATAAATTCCAGTGGGAGAAGATAGACATTTATTCATTCATCCCATAATGCTTTTTTTTAAGAAAAATTTAGTATTTGCTATGTACTAAGTCCTAGAGTAACAGCTGGAACAAAACCAAGCCCTTGGCCCTATCTAGCCAATGTTTTACATAATGACCAACCTACATTAAGACGTGTGACATAGTTGGGATGAAATACCAGGGTGACAGGGTAGACAATAAGTGGGACAAGGGACTGTCTTTAGATGGCAAGGTCAGGAGGTACCCCACAGTGAGAAGGGGCCAGCCATGGGGAGAGCTTGCTAAGTAGAGGAGTTGAGAAAGAGCCCAACCCTGCCAGGTGTGGTGGTGCACACCTGCAATCCCACCACTCAGGAGGTTGAGGGAGAAGGCTCATGAAAAACTTAAGGCCAGCCTGTGCTGCACAGCAAGACCCTGTCTCAAGAAGAAAAACCTGGGCTTATGGAACACAGTGTAGTCAGAAGCAGTGGAGAGACTAAGAGGAAGTTTTCTTTCAGCCAGGCTGGGAAAGATGGATGAATGTTAAGATGAACTCTATGACAGCAAGGGTTTCTCAGGGAACACTGTGAACACAGCCCAATCCCACCAACAGAGTACACTGGACATAAACCAAAAATACGGACTTGGAAAGAGTTAAACCATTAGCACTGGTTGTTACCAAGTACAACCTATCCATCCTGGATGACACATCTACAATATTCACTATGTACAAACCCAAATGACTGCCATGATTCTACCAAACTCAAAAGCAAGAGAATGCGTGAAATTCAGGTCCAAGCAAGTGTGATAGTGCACCCCTATAATCCCAGTACTCTAGGAAGCTGAGAGAGGAGGATCACAAGTTCTAGCCCAGTCGGGTCCACTTAGTGACTTAGGGAGACCTTGTCTTGAAACATAAAGGGCAGGAAATGCTGCTCTGTAAGAAGGCTCTGGGTTCAGTCCTCTATACTGCAGAAAAGAAAAAGAAAAAGTAGATAGAGCTAATGAGACTAGGTCTTCCGTTTCTGATCTGAAACAGGAAAGAGAAACAACCAACAACCACAGTACCAGTGACAGTCACAATGTGCAGACATTGTTCTAAGCACTGCCTATAGGGGTTGGTAGTATAGCTCAGTGGAACAACACTTGCCTGGCATGTACAAGGCCCCAGGTTCAATCCATAACACTGCAAAGGAAAGAAAGAAGAGTATTCCAATTGAAACTGTGCTCTAATTCTCAAATATCCCTAAGAGGTGGGCGCTGTCCACCCTTAGATTATAAGGTGCCCTTCCCCAGTGCAAGGGATGGGAGATGTGAGGACACAGTGCTGACTTTTAAGCTCACTTCCCTTCAGCTGGGACTTCCTCTGGCTTCCTTACACCTCACTGAAAAACATTCACTGCTCTCTTTTCTGACGTTCCCAGGTTAGAAAGACCCAACCCTCCACCCACCTCTGGGATTATCTGAAAGTCAAGATGACCCCTACCCCACCTTGCTAATGAGTCAGCACTGAACACCCCTATGCCTCTTGGGATTGTTGTGTGTCTGTCCTTCTCCAGCTCAGCAAAGAAGACAGAGGAAGAATGTCTGAGTTTCCTTGTCCCTTCTGTCCTGGCCTGTGACTTAAGTGGTGCCCAACCAGCCCACTGGTTCTTTCTTCCCTGTGGGAGCTGTTGCCCAGCAACCAGACTCCTCAATCTCTCCTCTCCCTGCATCAGGACCACTTTATAGATCCAAGGACCTGGATGGACCAAAGCACTGAGGGCTCTCCCGTTTCACATCCAAGCATAGTTTCTGACTTTCTCTTTCTTAAAAAGGCCCAACTTCTACTTTTGAGCATCTTAAGCGCATGTGAATAAATCAGGAATACTTTCATTAAGAGTTACATGGGGGGCTTCCCTGCAGATAATTGATTTCTTCAATAGAAAAGCAGCAAAAGCAATGAAACCGCCTCTTCTTAACAGCCCCACCCTTGCCACAATCTCATGAAAACAAGAAGAAGCATGAGGTCCAGGGAGCTTCTAAAGCTAAGAGATTACCTGCACCACTCAAGCTGGTAACAGGTGATGACTTAGCCAGAAAAAACACTAGAAATCCTCACCTTCCATGAGCAATATTAATTGGAAAACAACCACCACGCACAGCACAAAGGCCTCGGTGCTGTCGTCTAAATCCAGCCTTCGCTGGCTGTGACTCCTTCAGTCAATTTTGATTTCCACAACGCTCTTTGTGCCTTGAGATTAGTCTTGGCAGTTTTACAAAGCGAAGATTTTAGAAAATGTCATCTTACATTTTCCTGTGGCTGGAAGAAAAGGGCTTGTGTGGAAAACGCCACACACGAGCCCACCGGGGCAGGGGGCCGCAGGCCGATGCCGGGTGCACTGATCGTGATAAGATCCATGGACTTAATGGCTTTCTGCAGCTCACAAAGGACAGGGAAATAAGAGCACCCGGTGAACAGCCAGCCAGGCAGCCTTGGTGGGGGTGTGGGGAGTGGCTGCCAGGGCACCTGAGGACGCAGAGCTCTGGAGCTGGGGTGTCTGACTTTGAGGTCCGCTCTTCTCTCCTGCAGAATCTTAGTGTAGACCAGAGTTTCTCAATCTCAGCCTTGCAC